CAATATCCTCTCAATACAGAGGCATTTGAACTCTCATGGAAATTAGGGCAGGATTTGAGCGATGACCTGTGAACTACAAGGGGAGGGCGTAAGAACCAGGACTAGGCTTAAACCCACTTGCGTATTGTTTGAAGGCAGCTCTGTCGCAGCCCCCCATCCGGCTTCCTCCCTCCCGAGCCTCACCCCGGCCTTGTGGTCAGGCAGCTCCTCGTAGGCAGTTCTGCTTCTCCCAGGCCAGCGGTGCAGTTAGCAGACACGCTGTGCTGACTTGGTTTTTACAACTAGGAAGAACTAAAATTAAAACTTGCCAGGAATTTCAACAGTCCAACAGCAGCAGCACCGTGCTGTTGCTAACAGGAGCCCCACTGCTGCTCCTGGGCAAGGACCGATATACCTGTCTATTTTTATATATATATACACGTATCTCAGTGCTTTACTTGCGCATATTCGGGGAATTCAGAAGGGAAGAGTTGTCCATACAAAAGGCAAACAATTCCTGTGACAGAGCAGCGTTCAGGTGGATGAACAAAACTGACCCATGTCAGAATAGCACTTACTCTTTGTTTCTACATAAGAAGCCTCAGGAAGATGAAACTAAGAGTAAGCTGATGCCAAGAAAGCCTAGAAACTGTAAAAACACAGACAGGTGCCCATCGAGGTGTTTTTGTAAGCTGTCCTTACCCGCTGCTGCCGAACTCCCAGGCAGACCTTGTCCTGACCCAGCACACAGCTCCCAGCACTGGTTTTATTTCTGAAGGTAGCTGGTTATGAGACTCTCAGATGGGACACGCTCTGTTTGTTCAGAGATGGAAATGACACTCTGGGTCCCTGTTTTTTGGCAGTTCTCTTTGCAGTGCTTATAGTGATAAAAGTCTGCAGCTGACAAATTGAGGTGCCATGGGAGCATGGCAAAATCAGCCTCCCTTCTAACCAAAACAAAGCTTTTAAGTGATAATATTTGGCTCTCATTACAGCTGACACCCAGTGCTGGACCACCACGCTGAAAGAGATGAAATGAAGCTTTAGAAGGGGGGACAAAGCGAGAGCTGCCTAGGCAGGACTAGCTCACGCGGGAGCAGCTTTCCAGAACGCGGGGACACAATGGGTCTCATGCAGAGTCAGAACTGACAGCTCAACGTTAACCTAAGCCTGACCCTCTCCCCAGTCCTTCCACCAGAGAGACAGTTTTCAGTAAGGTTTGTACAGGGATTCCCAAAAGCACAGAATTATGGACTCGGGGGAAGGGAGGGAATCACACAAACCCAGGAACTGGTAGTTGGGAAGTGGTGGGCATAGGCTCAAAGGCTGAGAAATATGCTCTGACTTACTCTGCACTACTGCAGCCTGGAGGGATTTCACACACCACAGCCCTGATCCAATTTAATGCGGGTTATGAACATCCTATAGAGCGTATTTTTACAACACACTTTAGCTTTACATGAAGTAACAACAGACTCATGGCTGCTTCTTTCCCTTTAACACAGGCTTTAGGATACAAACATCCCACTGAAGTGAGAAATCTTTGCCTTCCACAACCCATCCTCAGCACAAGCCTTCCCCTTGCACGAGACATTCACCCACTTGGACACCTGCACATTACACTGTGTTCTATGAGCCAGGACTGCACTTGACCCTGAAGCAACTGAAACAAAGACTCAACAGTCAAGTTTTTTTCCTGTCAAGCAGGAATTCTTCATTAGCAGCGCTGGGGATTCTCCACCAGCCGGGCTCCCCCGCACTAGCAAGGGACACCACTTCACACGCACACAAATCATCCATCTGCCTCAGGCTCCCTGCAGAGGGGCGTCTCAGGATAAGGGGCTCCTGGAGTTGATTTACACCATCCCAGCACATGCAGTGGAACAGGGTGAGGGCCGTTGGTGGCGGAGGGGAGCAGTAAGCAGTCTTCCTCACGGCGTTCGCTAGCCGACCTCCCTGCGGAGCTGCCGGGCAGTGGAGTCCAGGTGCCTCCTTCGTACGCCAGCAGAAGCATCCTCCCTGTAACAGGGTCTCTGTGTCCCAGCCCCCCCCCCAGTTTCCCCAGCCTGGGAGCTGCCCCAGCGCCCGCTGAAGGCCTCGAGTCCTTGCCCAGGGATTTCCCTCGGGAGCCTGAGGAAGCGTTTCGGTCTCACCTGGACAGACCGAGGGGCCTCAGGAACCAGCTGAGGAGTCAGGAGGCCTCGAGAGACAAACGGGGCGAAACACAAGCAAAGCTGTGAAACCAGCGGAGCAAGGCACAAGCAAAGCTTCCACTCACCACAGTTTAGTCTTAATAACCGTCAGAAAT